TGGTAAACGTGTTCGTCGCGACGAGGTCGAACTCCGTCATCAGATCGCGCAACATTTCCCCTCGCCAGGATGAGGAGGTGGCTGAGAAAGGGCCGATTGTGTCTCCATCAGAAACTCCCAGGCCGTCTTGGGCATCGATGCTCACTATAGCATTGCAATCACTGGACATGGTAATAAGACATTCCCTGAGCTGCTCAATCGTCTCTGCGTACTCTTGGCGAACGATATGTGAAAACTGGTGGCTCGTGATGAGCCGAACCTTGCCCCAGACAGGAAGCTGTAAGTCCAGGGCCATGGTGCGGTTGTGGTACTGGGGGGTGCCACAGACGGATGGTTGCAGAGCATCTGCAATCGCTATCGCGCATCTCTGCCAGGCCCCCGATGGAGGCGACACGTGCACAACATAGCCGTCGTATGACTGTTCAGCACCACCAGCAACGCACCACTCTTGGAAAAGGATAATCTGCGGATTGAATTCATGTGCAAGTTCATCCAGTACGTGGGCCCGCCGTCTAGCAAGGACGCCTCTCGCATTCCACCCGAGAACTGTGAGGTCCCCGACATCCTTAGCAAAGCGGCGCCCACGTACGCGAAATCACTGTGCACGAGGAGGATTGTTGATGTCTCCCAGCTTCTCGTCCAGCTTGAAGTCCTTCAGCTCCTGGTTCATCAGGGCCAGGGCGTCGGGGCTCTTGTCCAGCTCGAGCAGGTCCGACTGACGGGACCGAGTGAGGATGCGCACTGGCCTCTCCGTGCTGTTCTTCCGATACACGACCTGCCCCCTGTCCCAGTCGCCGTCGAAGGTCCTCATCTTCGTCTCGTCCGTGCACAGGTTGCTGCTCACTCCGAACTCCCTGAGAATGCGCACGGCGTAGCTCACCCTGCGGGACAGCTCCACCTCGTGCGGCTCCTGGTCCACCTTGTGCCACAGACGATCGTTCCGCGCGCCTGGGCACGGGATCTTCTGGCCTTTCCACCTCTTCATGAACTCCCACATCTGACGATTGCTAGCGAAGACCACCTTCGCTTGGTCACAGAACCTCCCCACCCCGTAGACGTCCGTGATGCCCTGGGCTGCGAGGCTGGTGGTCTTGGCCAGCTCCTCGCGCAAGTGCTTCTCAACCTCGTCCTTGTCCCACGTCCCTGGGAACCCCGCCACGAAGACGACGTGCTTTGTGTTTTTCCCGAAGCCGCGCGGCGGTGCACCTGGGCCCACGCTCTGGCCTGGTCCCGAGACCGAGCCAGCAGTCCCAGCCCGCTGCTGCAGCAGGTACGCGCCCCACGGGTCCTGGCCGTGGCCCAGGCCAGGGCGCGAAGCGCCCGCCGAACTCGCCGCCGTTGATGCCCTGCCTGCATTCTCGACTGCCTCGAGCCTGGCATCCTGTGCCCGCAGCTGCGCCTTGAGCCCCGCAATCTCCCTCGTGCTGGTCTCCACGGTGCGGCGCAGGCCCGCCACGGACTCCTCGACTGCCGAAACTCGACCTCCGACGGAACCGATGATGTAATCAGCCAAGCTCTTCATCTCGGGGTTCTGCGGCGGGACCAGCGGCTGGTGGCGGCCAGGCCTCGCGGCCTCGTCGTCGGTGCTGCCCTCTATGTCGTCTGCCTCGCCGCCGCCTCCGATGCTGCCTCTCTTCTCCACACGGCGCTGCTGCCTTCTCTCCCAGGCCTCATCCCTGCCCTCGGCTGCGACGGCAGCGGGCGCGAGCGCCGCCATGGCAGCGCTCAGGGAGAGAGAAGGTGTGCGGTGGCAAAATGCGCACGCGCGTGCGGATCTCTAGGAACCCCTGGGTGCCGCCTTGAGCCAAAATGGCAAAACGACGACGACGACGACGACGACGACGACGGCGGCGGCGGCGGCGGCGGCGGTGGCGGCGGGGGAGAGGGAGGGAGGTGGGCGGGGGAGGGGGTACACATCGAGGTTCAAACCTCGAGCCTCGAGGTTTGCCTTCGGGAGGCCTCCTCGTCGCCACGGCTGGGCGGCATGAGAACCAGCAACACCAGCAGCAGCACTGGCAGCAGCAGCAGCAGCACCACCACCAACACAAACAACGGCACCAGCAACAGTGCCAGCAGCAGCACCAACAGCACGAGAACCAACAACACCACCAGCAGCACCAGCAGCAGCAGCACCACCACCACCAGCGGTACCAGCAGCAGCAACAGCACCAACAGCAGCACCCGCACCAATCGCTACCAGAGATCTCCCGATTCACCGTTGTTGCCCAGGGCCGCCCCCCGGAGAAGGGGGATGGGGATGGGGGAGGATGGGAGAGCAGGACGAGGCAGAAACCCCCGAGGGGGAGGATGGGAGAGCAGGACGAGGATGGGAGAGCAGGACGAGGATGGGAGAGCAGGACGAGGACGAGGATGGGGGAGGATGCGTTCCGTCGAGCGATCCCCACCGAAACCTCCAGAGCGATCTCCCCCGACAGCTGAAACAGCGCAACCGTCCGATCCCCACCGAAACCTTTGGAGCGATCTCCACCGAAACTTTTGGAGCTCCCTCTCTCTCTCTCTCGCTCGCTGTGTCTCTCTCTCTCTCGCTCTGTCTCTCGCTCTGTCTGCTTATAGCTGTGTTAGAGCTCGATGTGGGCTCCAACATGCTATGTTAGAGCTCCCAGGGAGATCTAACATAGCATGTTATCTAACACATGGTGTTAGAGCTCCCAGGCAGAGAGAGAGGGAGCTCTAACATAGCATGTTCGAGCTCCCAAGAGGCTCTAACATGGCATGGTAGAGCTCGACTTGAGGTCTACCTGGAGTTGAGATCCAACGTACTATGTTAGATCTCGACTTGAGCCCTATGAGAGCTCGATTCGAGCTTTAACTTCACATGTCAGATTTCGTTTTGAGCTCTAACACAGCATGTTAAAGCTCCCAGGGAACTCAGGGGGGGGGTCTCAGGCGAAGCGCCCGGCCTGCCCTGCTGAGGGACGCCCGGCGTCGTCGTCAACGTCGTCGTCGTCGTCGTCGTCGTCGTCGTCGTCGTCGTCGTCGTCGTCATGGACGGAGGGGGTCGTCGTCGTCGTGGACGGAGGGCTTCGTCGTCAACGCGGTCGCCGTCGCCGCCGCCGCCTCCGCCGCCGTCGTCGTCGTCGTCGTCGTCGTTGTTGTCGTCGTCGTCGTCATGGACGGAAGGGGGTCGTCGTCGTCGCCGTGGACGGAGGGGGTCGTATTCAAACTTCGGCTTTCGCCCGAGCACCGCACACGAATGTCTTGAAAGCCTCTGGGGGGGTGGAAGCAGGAGGGGGAGGAGGAGATCAAACGTGGGATGTTAGATCTCAAATTCCTCCTTCTTCCCTCTGTTCGGGAAGATTTACCTCCCCCCCCCTCCCTGGGCCCGGAAGGGGGGGGGGAGGGGAGCGAGGGGTTAGAGCGTCCAAGATGGCCCAAGGCGGCTCCAAGAGAGCCTCATAGAGCCCAAGATGGCCTCCAAGATGGCCCAATATACCTCAAGACAGCTCAAGATAGTCTCCGACATGCCTCCAAAAGCCTCAAGACGGCCCAAGGTTTCAAGTGCCCTCCGAGCCCTCCAAGGACCCCCCCCAAGAGGCCAAATTCCATCAACAACTTAAAGAAAATCCATGTTTGCCGCCGTCGCCGCCGCCGCCGCCGCCGCCGTCGTCGTCGTCGTCGTCATCGTCGTCGTCGTCGTGGACGGAGGGGGTTGTCGTCGTCGTCGTGGACGGAGGGGGTCGTCGTCGTCGTCGTTGTCGTCGTCGTCGTCGTCGCCCGCAGTACTGGCTTGCCGCCGATGATGACGATGACAACGACGACGACGGCGATGATGATGATGATGATGACGACGACGATGATCACGATGATGATGACGACTATGATGATGGTGATGATGTTGATGATGACGATGACGATGATGATGGTGGTTATGATGACGGTGATGAGGATGAACACCATCGAAAAACGATGATGGTGATGAGGAGAAGGAGGAGCGGCGGAAGAACATGATTTACGATAGTCCCCATCATCACCATCAAAACAATCGGACACCGATGATGATAATGAGGAGGAGGAGCGGTGGAAGAATATGATTTACGATAGTCCCCATCATCGCCATCACCATCAGCATCATCACCATCGCCGTCGCCCCCATCACCATCACCACCATCATCGTCACCATCCACAATGGGGAAGGAAACTCAATCGATTCAGGGCTCGGGGAAGACGCAGGGGACGACGACATTGCCTTGAGCCAAGTCCTACGGACCACAATGGTGATGATGGTGATGGCGATGGCGATGGTGATGGTATGGATGGTGATGATGATGGGGATGGTGATGATGGTATGGTGAGGGCGAATGTGATGGTGACGATGGTGATGGTGATGATGGTGATTGTGGATGTGATGATCACCACCATCATCACCATCACCATCGCCATCACCATCAGCACTACGATATGAGAATCACCACCATTACCATCGTCATCAGCATCAAAACACAAAAACACTCAGCTCACTCAACTAAAACCCGCCCTAAAAACAGCCAGATCTGGGCACCCCCGGAACGCCCTCAGCGAGGCGCAGCTGACAGAGAGCATCCCGAGGCTGGAAAACCGCAGAGAGCCGCCGAACGCGTGAAAACCTTTTTATCTCCCCCTAACGTTGCCCCTGACCTCTCTTGGTGTGCGTTCTGCCCACGATGTCGAGGGAAATTCGGCCATGGCCACGAGGGCTCCCCGAGACGACCAAAACCTCCAGAAAGCGGACCTCGACCCTCGAATCTCCAGCCACCCCCTGTATACGGTCGGGAACTGTCGCTGAGCGTGTCGCGGCGGCGGCCCCAGCGACACCCTATGCTTTGCAAGCGGATAGCGTGTCGCTTCCCTCCGCGGGACGGGAGGCTGGTTAAGATCGGCATGTGGACGCCTGTGGACCGCGAAGTGTATAGTGTGTCGCGCAGAAGCGTGGTGGGCCAGAACCAGTGGAGCGACACGCTAACCAAAAGTTCCCGACCGCAGCCACGCTGCCCCTGATTGACCACGGCGCCGCAGCAGGCCACGTTCAGCGACGACTCGCGGACGGTGGGGAGCTGCACGTGGTGGGTGCACCTCGCGACCACGCTCGGCGGCAGGCCGTGGTCCTCCGCTGGTCAGGCTTCGGGCTGCGCACAGACGGCGCCCCCAGGTCCCTGAGATCCTGGCGTCGGATTTGTTCCGCGCCAAGCGTTCTGGTCAAATTTCGGGCCCCGGGACCCTCACTGATCGATTTGCCTCACGAAGTGCCGCAGACCGACTGGGCCCAGTGCTTCAGTCGCAGAAGGGTGCCATTCCATCGCAGGGTCGGATCTCAGGGCCCAGGCAGTCCCGGCTGGCCTCAACAGGCCCCCCGAGCAGCCCAGGGCGGTCCCAACACGCCAACCTTGGGGTGCGGAGGGGCCCAGGGGCGCCGCCCGCCAAAGGCGGCCTCGGGGTGTTGAGACAGCCCGGGGCCTCTCGGGGGACCTGTTGAGGCCAGCTGGGACTACTCGGGGCCTGCTGAGGCCAGCTGGGGCTATCTGGGCCCTGAGATCCAGCGTCGCGGAGACATTGCAGCATCGCGAAAAATCACGACCGGAGCCCTAGACCCAACCTTTCTGCGGCATGTTTCGAACTGGGTCGGTCCGTGGGGGGCCCGAAACTAGGCAGATCCCCAGTTGTGAAAAAAAACGCAGCGCCAGCATCGCAGGGACCTGGGGGGGCTGTCTGTGCACAGCCCGAAGCCCGAAGCCTCCCCAGTGGATGAGAGAAACAAAGAAGCATAAAAGCATTACTTCGGAGCTCCGCGCTGATTTCTTGGACTGGCGCTGGGTCCCCCTCCCTGGCGCACGGAGCGCGCCAGGGGTCCGCCAGGAGGGCCGAGCGCCGATCCGAGAAGTCCGCGCGGAGCTCCGAAGATCTATGTTTATGCAGGTGTTGTTATTGAGTGGTCCTCCGCCCCGAGCAGGTACACGGCGCGTTGCGGGTGCCGGAATGCCTCCAACGGCTGCCCGCCCATTTCCACCGCCACCAGGGCTGCGCCCTCCGGGCTCGCCTCCAGGAGGGCGTCGAAGTCGCGGAGGCGTCAGGATGCAATTACTGGGAGGGCCTCGAGGAGGAGGAGGAGGAGGACGACGACGAGGAGGAGGAGGAGGAGGAGGAGGAGCAAAGGGAGGAGAAGCAAAGGGAGAAGGAGGAGGAGCGAGGAGGAGGAGGGAGGAGGAAGGAGGGAGGAGGAAGGAGGGAGGAGGAAGGAGGGAGGAGGGCGTCGTAAGAACGATTTCCAGACGTGCTCGCGTCGGGAAACAATTACGACGGAGTGGCTTTCGCCATTTTCGGCCTCCGACGGCCCTTGCTGGGCCCCGGGAGCGTCAAAAAACGGCTCAGGGTCGCGACATCCGAGGGCCCCGTAATGGAAGAATGAAGACGTCACATGTCTGGGTCAAGAACGACTCAAAGCTAGTACGCCAAAACCGAAGGCCGCTGTGCCGGATCAGCCCAGAATAAGCCCAGAATTAAAATCGGCCCGAACTGAATGAATGGGATGTCTGCTTGATCACGCCGGCTTAAGGCTGTTTTCGACCACGGACAAACCAGCGCCGATACTGGATCTAACCCCCAGGGGTTGCATCCCAGGAAGCGCAGGGAGGGCAGCCGCAGCCAGCCCTGGCAGGTGTCCGCGTTGCCAGCTGCGACGCCGCCCAGGCGGTCGCCAACAAGGAACACGAAGGACGCGCCCATCTGCCACGCGCCGCGCCATAGCGAGTCGTGGTTGCTCGAGTACTTGCACCGGTGCAGCCCGATGGCGAACCAACCGCCCGCCTCTCGAACGAAGGGGGAACGCTAAGGGCACTCGGCGATACATTGCCGATAGATCGGCGGTAGGCCCCGGACGACGAATCCGCACGTCGGCCTATCGGGCCCCTGTCGGCGATCAGTGGGCGACTGGAGTCCATGTATTCCCCCCCTGAGCCTGTCCCCACCGAAAGTTGCCCGTGATAGAAGAAGAAGAAGAAGAAGAAACTGCACGAACGTAAACTTGCGGCTTTTCTTGCGTTTCTCATTTGTTGACCGCGTCCACTCCTTCTCCTCCAGCTCGTCTTCGCCACTCCATTCTCGCTCACTGGCCCACCATTGTCCTTCTTCTGAATACCCTTCTGCGTTCCAACCTTCGTGAGGGTCCTAGGTGTTCCCGTGGTCGTCGCAGCTGCCGCTAACGCCACCTATGTCCATGGAGTCGTGGTTCCGCGCATCGGCGTCTAACCGATTTCTCCGTGCCCAATCCTCACATTTAACGCATAGGTTCTGGTAGCGTTCAATATTGGTTGAGTCTGGCGTAATAAAACACGCCTGGCGCGATCCTTCGAACCAGTACCCGGCATGGGTCGTTATGGTCCTCAACGCAGTGATGCCGAAGGGACGATTTGATGAGCACGCTGGCCCATACTTCTCCCAGGTTCCCACTGGAGCTGCCCGCTTCTCTACCAGGGCAGCGACGTCCCAAACCCTTTTGGGTTTGTCAGGGCGCATGACCAGGCTCATTTGGTCTGACAGAGTCACTTCGGTAACTGCTGAATGCCACTTGTATCTCTTTCGGTTCGCTGGCACTCCACCTGCCATCCATCTGACTTTTCCCGGAGCTCCACCCCTTCTAGTTCTTGGTTCAGGATGTACCACATATCCTCGTCCCATGTGCGCACTGTTCCGTCTTTTTTATCAACGTCTCCCTTAGCGTCGTCATCATTCTGTTTCGCCGCACATGTTTTGACGTATTCAGCAGCAGTTAGCCGTCCGTTGAGGATCCTGATCCTGTCATTGTCGTCCTCGTCATGCAGATGTCCGTCCATGGTTTCCAGGTTACCTTCTAAGTTCTGTAACGCCTTCATGTACTGGGGACTTACGTGGGCCAAAGCGTGTAGTATCCTCTCATTCCATTCACGAAATTTGGCTCGGTCCTGGGCCAATGCTTTGAGCTGCTGTGTGGTCTTGCATTCGCTGACTGGTTGCTGGTATGTTTTGCCGCCGAATCGGCGCTTGCCTTCTGTTATTGACTCCGCAATGTTCGTAGCTTGGTCCACCGTGCTTCTCTGCGCTCGCGTGTAATATTCCAAATGTTGACCCCTTAACTGGAGTTGCGTCGCTTCGAGTCGTGACTGTTCTAAACCCATGCTGCGGTCTGTCTCTCAATGAACTGCCTCATCCCCTCGTGTTTGACGCTCCATACCACCCTCACGTAACTGTAGTGGTGGCTTCCATAATACGCAAATTCACATTGTGGCTTCAATAATACGCAAATTCAAATTGTTCTCCGAAACCGGCTGGGCTCAAATTGAACCATCGGTCTCGGTCCTGGGGCGTGTTTAACTCCGGGAGCGGTTCCCCTGGTTGGGCGGGTACCGCCGCTGCTGTTGCCGCGGCCGCCATTCACAGCAACTCCCGAGGGGGCGCACGGAAACGATAATTGGAGACATGTATGTTTTAATCGCGGACTTGTGGCACGATCTGCTGATGGGTACTTGAGTCAAACGGCGTTGGTAACAACCGCCGTCCGACTCTGACGTTGTGATGAGCTGGTCCCCCAGTCGCTAAGCTATGCTCTAACACCCCTTACCACTCCTCCTCCACCTCCTCCTCGTCCTCTTCCTCCTTTTTCTCCTCCTTTCCCTCATGTTCCTCCATTTCCTCCTCCTCCTCCTTCTCCTCCTCCTCCGCCTCCTCTTCGTTCTCCTCCTCATTATTATTCTTCTTATTATTCTTCTTCTTCGAGCCTCGTCGACTGCCTCGCGGCTCCCGCGCAGCCGGTCGCGGCGGCTCGGGCTCAACTCTCGCGCGCGGGGCCCGAAGAGCACGGACACGTGGACATCGGACGCCCGCGGGTACGGCAGATCTCCGCTGATGGCGGGCGCCCACCAGTCACGAGAGGCGAACGCAACCATATCCGCGCCCTCGTAATCTGGATTCCAAGGTGCGATCCCGCGGATACGAGGTCGCACGGATGCGTTCCGCGCGGGGCATCTATTAAAAGACGCCCCCTCTCCGCGGGGGCGCGGCCCAGGGGCCCGGCCCGCGAGCCCGCGGAGACGGATACGGCCGGGAACCGAGGCGAGGTGAGCCAGAACCGGTGGAGCAACACGCCGACCAAAAGTTCCCGACCGTATGTGCTGCCGCGCTGTTTGTTCTGAACGCGCCCAAACAGACGACTAGCGAGACGAAGCCCCGGCACTGCGGCGAATCCCACGGAAAACCTGGCGTCCGAGGCGGAGTTTGCCGTGGTGGCCGAGGCGCCCTCCCCAAGACGTAAGGCCGCGCGTCGGAACAGCCAGCGGCCAGTCGCGCCCGCTCGGGCGGCGAGCGGCCGAAACTCACGCGACTGTGCCCTCCTGCCCTCCTGCTCGGAGGCCCGCTCCCGCCCACCGCGCAGCAGAGGAGAGGGCCACGGGTCGGAAACAGACGCCGCAAGCGTGGCATACGCAAGCAAGTTGGGAGGCACGTGTGCAGAGACCTACTTCGGGGGGCGCGCCTGGGGGGGAAGAGAGAAAGGCGGGGTCTTCTCCGAAGGCTCGAACTCCTCCGGCCTTCTGGGAAGCTTCTGAGCCTCCCCCGAAGACGCATAACATCTTTCAAGAAGGCCAGAGGGATTCTGAGAAGCACCGCCGCACTCTGAGAGGGCCTTCTCCTTCTCACTTCCGCCGATACATCGGCAACGTCGGCGATGCATCGGCGCCGTCGGCGTGGCGAAACTATGGCTCCACATGAAGAAACGTCGTCGATACATCGTCGATGCGGAGCGATCCTTCGACCCCGTCCACTCGGACCCCATTCAGGAGGCAACTGATGGGAGGTCTTCGAAAGAACGAGTAAAGGGCTGTCAAACCCGACTGAGGGACCATTGAGCCGGATTGGTCCGCCTGCAGCCAAGGATTGAGCTGGACTGAGCGGGATTAGGCGGAAATGAGCTGGTCTATGCCAGACTGGGCCGGCTTGCGGCCACGGGTATACTGGCGCCGATGATGAGGACAACCTGCTAGGAGTTACATCCGAAAGGTGCGGTGAAGCCGCCACAATCGGGTCACAAGCCCGATGATCAGAATCGGGCCCAGGAGAGCGCACAGCCCGCTCAAATCCCGCCCCCGCCCCCACCCCCCCTGGAGTCCATCCTGGCCGGCCTTCGCATCCAATATTGATTCTGGCGGCCCTGGGTCCCACCACGGGCCCCACGCAGGCAAAACACACTCGAACTTACATTTGAGCCTACGGCTGATTTATGTCGTGCCGACTTGGGCACCGGTCTCTGACACCACGTGGAGCGTTGAACCTTCAACGATCGCGGCTTTCCGATGGCACGAACCGTTCCATGTCTGCTGAGTCTGGGCCACGGGCGGCGTTCAACCTTGAACGTCTGCGCTGGGGGCGCCGCCGCGTCGGCAGGACACGACCCTACCGTGCACGACCGAGCCTGGAGGCCATGGACCCGAGATGGCGACGCCTCGCTGTGACCCCCGCAGCCCTCCACCAACCCTCCGCGGACAGACCCGCCGCCATTTGACTCTCCCCGACTTCCCCCGGCCTTCCGCCAGCCTCCGCAGGGGGCGAGCCGCGCCGAAGGCGAGGCCCTTTCTGGAGCGCCTCCGATGGCCGACGCAGGGGACCTCAGACCCGAGCCCTCGACGTCGTGATTGTTTCAACACGTCGACCCGCCGAGGTCTCGACCCGTTCTCCTGGACTGGCTCCCCATCCCGAATCATGGATTGACGGCCCCGAGGCCTGGCGAGGGCACCCAGAGGTTTGTATGTCTTCTTCTTCTTCCGAACACAAATGGCCGACCCAGGAAACCCCAGATAACGACGTCTCGCTTTCACCTCATTACGCAGCGCCGTCTTCCGCCCACCTGGCGCTGGCCGCCCTCCGCCGACATGGGCCGCCCTTGGTTTGGAACCGCTTCCACCGCCCTCCGCCAGCCATCCCCCCGCCCTTGCGCCGAGGAAGGGGAGCCACCCTCTCGATCTCTCCAGCTACGGGCAAATTGTTCGATCGATGCTGGACTTCGCAGGAAGCCAAGAAACTCGAACGGGTGTCCGGGGTCGATGGGGTATGAAGCATCTCCATGTGGCTCCTTATCTGGCGCGCCGACTGTACCCATGCAGACCCCCCTGGCGTCACGATCTTCTCCTCCGCAACGTGGGCCCCAGCAAGGAGGTCTGTGTAGACCCCTTCCCTGGGCACGGCTTCTCACCCTGAGCCGGGCTCAGGATGAAAAGCCGTGCCGTTCTTTATTGCAGTCCCGAGGGCCCCTGTAAGGGCCCCCACAAGGGCCGAAGGCGGTCAACAGTCTGCCGCCGTGGCCTCTGTTCACCCGCGGTGGGGACTGTCCCCAGGCATCCACCGGTTTGCTTTCTTCCATGCGCGGACCCAGCAGTCCCAACCTCTTCCCCGGGGCGCAGTTCCTCGCTCCGGGCCTCGGGCCACCGGAGGCCGAAACCGCGGCGCAGCGCATGGCATGAGAAAACGTCTCGCCAGGAGATCTGGATCCTGGACCTGGGTCCGGGAGCAACAGCGGGCCTCCGAGTGTCTCTCGGGTCCAGCAGCCGAGGAGTGCCCGCCGGCGTGGCCGAGACCGCCCGCGGCGGCTGCCGCCCGGCAGCGGTCGCGCCCTGCTGCGGCGCGAGGCCGGGGCCCGAGCACATGCGGCGCAGGGCCCGCAGCGCCGGGCCGCCCCAGGCCGCGGTCGCCATGGCCGAGGCAGCTGGGCCGGCCAAGACGGCTACCCAGACAGGAGGGCATTCGGGGGAGAGGGGGGGAGAGGGGGGGGAGAGGGAGAGGGGGGGGGTAGAAGAAAAAGAAGATGAAGATGAAGGAGGATGCAAATCAGGCGAACACGGAAACATACAGCAGTGCTGAAAACTTGCGGAGATCCGAGCGGACTTCTTGGATCGGCGCTGGACCCCCTGCCTGGCGCGCGGGGCGCACCACGGGCGGCGCTGGAGGCGCCGCCTCCAGGGGGGCCCAGCGCCAAGCTGAGAAGTCCGCGCAGGCCTCCATGAGCATATGCTTACGTCGTGTTGTTTCTTACTCGATGCGCGGGCCGGCGCGGCTCGTAGCGCCGGCTCGCGCTGGGGGAGGCGGCCTGCTTACTATTTCTTCCCCCCGCAGCACAGCGTGGTGAAGCAAGGAGCCCTTCGCAACAGGTTCAACGCATCAAGCAGCCGAGAACGCGTGGAAACTGGCGAGGGAGGAGGACGACGCCCACGACGAGAAGGATGGAGCGGCGGAGGAGACGTTCGTTGGAAGCAGGGCGAGTTGAGACATCGGCAGCTTAAGATCGGCCCTGGACCCCTCCTAGGGTCCAAGCGCACCAATTTGCCGAGCTGCCTCCAGCCGTGGCGACGAGGGCATCCCCCGAAGTCAAACTACCGTTGTCTCGACTCGCCTTCCTCTGACAAGCCGGGAAGGATGACGCGGTGGCGGGACAATTTCTCGACGTTGACGCGGAATGCCCAGAAAAAGCGTTGAGCATGCCGCGGCCCGACAAGAGCAGCACGACATTCGCCGGTCTTTCAAAGACCGCCTCACCTGGGCAGGGCCTCCCTCCACCTCCACCACCTTCACAGCTCTGTCTGTGTCCTCCTCGCCCTTCTCAAACTCGTCCTTGCTTTTGCCCTCACCGCCCTCTGCATGCTCATTGGTCTCGCCATCCGCCGCCACCTCCTCTGCCTCAACCTTCTACCTCAACCTCATCTTTGCCGCGGAGTCCAGCAGGCGCGCGGGCCAGCGGGCGCTCGCAGCGCGCGCGCACGAGCGCGGCGCGGGCCTGCTCCTGCTGGAACTGCACATTCTCGACGTTGAAGTGGGTGCCCAGCAGGCGGTCCTCCGCGGGCGCCCGCAGCGGGCGCCCCCTCCTCGGGCTGCGCTTGGGGTATCTGCAGGCCCTGAGCCGAAGTCCCGCTGGTAATGTTGTGGGCCCTCCCCCCTCCCCCCCAAAGCCAAGCCCCAGGGTGCGGGGTGAACGGGGTTGCCGTGCAAAAGTAAAGCGTGCCGTTCACGAGTAAAGCGTGCCCAGCACGAGGGGCTGAACACACGGCGTCGCCCTCGCCCCCGTCGTCTGCAACGTCACTCAGCATCAAATTTGGAAACCTGGTTGAGCTGGAGTGTGCGCCGGATCGGGCTGCATCGGCACGAAGTCGGAGTCGAGTCGAGTCGGCCGCGCCAGGATGCTCAACAGCACCATGCAAGCATCGTGCCGCATCGGATCGCCAAAAGATAAACATCTAATCGAATCGGGCTGGCGGGAACCGAGATCGAATCGGACCAATCGGATCGAAGCAATTCCTCGAGCGCCAGCCCAGCGAGATCGCGATGGACGTCTGGCACTTCAAGTGCCGCAAAGCGGGCAAACACCAGGAGAAGGGCGTGCTCTCGCTGGCCGTGTCGATGCGCGACCCTCGGGTGGTCCGGATGTGGCAGGCGGCTCTCGCGAACTTCCAGCAGCATTTTTCTAGCGAGAGGACGGCGAGCCCTGTAGAGCGCGACGTGTCGAGGTTGCTGAAAGAGCTCGCAGACGCGAAGGAGGCAGCTTCGGACGGATGCCGAGCAGTAGCCGACTCACTGAACTTGTGAATAGAGGAGTAGTGCCCGCCTCGGCTCTCCAGCTCCCTTCCCTTGTCTCATATGCCGCCTCCTCTCGGCCTACTGTCCCTGTTACTCATGTTGCTCGAGGGGTTCGGCGGGTGGCACGGGGGGCGCTGGGCGGGGAGGAAGGACGTAAGCCGCAGGTCCCCGTGGAGGTACCCGCCCAGGGCTGCGCGCCTGTCGTGCGGATCGCCGCCATAGGGGAAGCGCGGGCTGGTCCCGAGTGGCTATGGTCGCTTCGGACAGCTCCAGTTTCATGCACTGTCGCAATTCGACGCCCAGAAGTGTTCGCCGCGCAGCCCTTAGTATGAGTTGACCGCTTCCCAAGGCCAACTGAACTGAACTGAACAAGACTCCTCGCGATTCCTCCGCCTCGTGATTCTCCCTGTCCTTTCCTGAAGCATAACTCCTTCCTGTCGCAGCCCGAGGCGTGTCGGAAAGGTGGGCCGGGGGTTCCGCTGTAGACTTCCTCGACACTCATGACCCATAAGCTTGAATCCCACCAGCCCTTTAGGGCGTAGGTGGTTTAGGGTGCTTCCTCTTCCACCCCCTTCTTCCCCTTTGGGGAAGGTTTCCCCCTCCCCCTCCCCCCTCCCCTGGACCTGGACGGGCCGTTCCGCGAGTCGTCGGAGCGTCCAAAACGGCCTCGGCGAGGAAGCCGAAATCATTGGTTTTACTATGGTTTGGGCCCCATTTTGGCCTCTTGGAGGGGCGACGCTAATTAAGGACCCCCCCTTCTTTGATCGATCGCCTCCGAGATGGCCCCACGAGCGCTCCCAAGGCTCCCAAGGGTGCCCCAAGAGGGCCCCAAGAGGTGGCCAGGAGGCCCCAAGAGGCCCCAAAGAGGCCCCCAGGAGGCCCCCAAGAGGCTCCCAAGAGACCCCCAAGAGGCCCCAAGAGGCCCCCCAGAGGCACCCAAGACGCTCCAAGATGCGTCGGAGACGAAGGTGTTGGCCACATGTTCGCTTCCTGGGGGGGGGGGGGGGCACTGCTTCAGATGACTTCAATAGCGCCTGGGAGAGCCCAAGATGACCTCCAAGATGGCTCAAGATATTCCAAGATGTCTCATAATGGCTCCCACGATGCTCCAAGATGCCCCAAGACCGCTCCAAGACGGCTCCAAGTGGCCAAAGAGCTCCCCGAGGAGGCCCCGAAGAGGACAAAATCCTTCCAAAACTTCAGGGCAATCAATGTTTTTGGCTCTCTCGCCGAGGCCTCAAGATGGCTCCAAGATGGCCCACGAGGGCTCCAAGAGCGCTTTAAGAGGGCCCCAAGAGGCGTCCAGGAGGCCCCAGGAGGCTCTAACAGGCGCCCAAGAGGCCTCCAAGAGGCTCCCAAGAGACCCCAAGAGGCCCCAAGAAGCTCTCCGAGGCACTCAAGACGCTCTAAGAAGCGTCCGGGACCGCCAAGAGGCCCCCAAGACGCTCCAAGAGGCCTCCACTGGGGGACCCTTCCTCTGTGTGCTGCCCACTTCCCTGATTGAGGCAATTCCTCTGGACATCGCTTCTGGATGGGCTGGTGGGGTTACGCGAAGCCTCTAAAATTGAGCAGCAGCTTCACAAATGGAGGGTGGGTCGCTTTCAGGATGAGGCTCATGATTTCGCGCCGCGCATATTCGACTAAACACGGATGGAGGGTGAGTGGTTTTCAATATGTGGCTCTCGCATTCGCGTCGCGCACATTTGCTTTAAAAATGTGCAAGAGCTTCACGGATGGAGGGCGGCCCGCTTTCAAAATGTGGTTCTCGCCTGAGCGCCGCGCGCATTCGTCCTACACATTCTCAAAGCTTTCACGGACGGAGGGCGGTACCTTTTCAAAATGTGGCTCTCGCCTTCGTGCCGCGCACGCTTATTCTGAAAAGTGGGAAATGTTCCAGAAGGTTCTCGTGGTTAACGCTCCCTCAATGGCATTTCGGCACGGTGTCGGACTGCCAGGGCGCAACAGCTACATTGATTCGCGGCGTTGAGGTGCCAGGAACGGGTATCTTGCACAACTCAGGATCGTCAGGACGCTACAGTAGCGGTGATTCGCAGCGTTCGAATCCAAGTACTGATTTTCTGGCGCAGTCCAAGATTCTCAAACGGCCAACGGGCTCAAACGGCCAACGGGCCAACGGGCAATTCCTATGAAGAATAAACTTGGTGGGAGGGTTTCATAACATATCGTTGATGAGTTTTTCCCTACCTAGGCTCTGCCTAGAAGGGTTCTTCCTCTCTGGGCTTAAAGGGGCCGGGCAGCGGAAAGCGCCCCGGGCGGTTCCCCCAGTATCCGCCCCGCGGTTCCCCCAGTTACGTCCCCTTAGCTTAGCGTTGCTTATATCATCTTAGCTTAGCTTATTTCATCTTAGCTTAGCTTAGCTTCATCTTAGCTCAGGTGTATCTTAGCTTAGCTTACCTTCATCTTAGCTTCGCTGAGCTTTAGCATAGCAGAGCACAGCATAGCATAGCATAGCATCGCATAGCACAGCATAGCGCAACTTAGCACAGCATAGCATATCATAGCTCAGCATAGCACAGCGCAGCATAGCACAGCGCAGCATGACATGGCATAGCTTAGCATAGCACAGCATAGCAAAGCATTGCATAGCGCAGCATAGCATAGCATAGCACAGCATAGCATAGCATATCATATCATTGCATAGCGCAGCATGGCATGGCATAGCATAGCATAACATAGCGTAGCAACTAATGCTGCTGTCCTAGGGGCTCCAACTTCTAGGTAGGGTCGCACTGGGGTAATGGGTTTGCACTGGTTCTCCTCCTCCTCCTCCTCCTCCTCCTCCTCCTCCTCCTCCTCCTCCTCCTCCTCCTCCCTGTCATCCTCTTCGTCTGTGCGCCCGGTGCCTCGGTGAAGCTCGCCGCTCCCCTCGAGCACGCTCGGCCGGGGCCGCTTCCCTTGGCCCGGGGCCAACGACTCCCCGCGCAGCGCCACCACCACGAACAATAACACCTCCTCCTCCTCCTCCTCCTCTTCCTGCTCCGCCTCCTCCTCTCAATGCCTGCTGCGCCAAAAGAGGCGCACTTCCAAACGGCCCTTTCTCCTGGAGACATGCGGAGACGTCGGGGGTTTGGGGGGCCCGGAAAAGAGTCAGGAGCGTCCAGCAGTA